TTAAATATTCAAGTTAAACTATTTTTTATTACTAATTTTCCTAGTATTTCCAGTCAGGATTTAATGAACTTGCAATATTGTTGAAAACACAGAACATTCAGTTTTGATATGTAAAAAGATTTCAGTTCTTATACTGCATGTCCTCTGCTTGTAAACTCGTAAACAAACAATTGTGATCGGTTCATGAGATCGGCCAGATTAGCGAGTACAGTTCGAGTCATGAAATTATTTATCGGCCGATACCAATCTCTGGCTAATTGATCGTAACATTCCTACTAATTAGCATTATAATTATTTTAACTACTGTATTTTGTATTTGCTTTTATTGTTTGTTATTATGGAATGTCTGCAGCAATATGATGATGCCCATAACAAATTTCCTGTCAAGGACAATAAAGTTTACTACTACTACTACTTCTAATTATTATCTGCTTTCTAAAAGTACGAAACATTGTTCATTCATAGTAGAAAAAACAAATGTGATGGCAGTCAACATTGTTCAAAGTATCTTTTGTGCTCCACAGAAAAAAACTCAAACTGGTTTGAAACAGGTGGAGGATGAGTAAATAATGACAGAATTTTTGTGTGAACTGTCCCTTTAAGATCAATCATCATGATTCTTGTCATGGAACATTTGAGCCTCTACAAGAGCCAATGAGCTTCTGTTCAATGATCAATGATTATCTGTGAATGAAAGCCGAAATGAAATCAGTTAAAAATGCAAAGCAATTGTATCTCTTCAGAAGGCTTGGATTAACCAGCCTGACTGGTATGGATTTATGCATTTTTATCTCTCTGTAAATGTTTTGAAACATCTTGTGTGCATTTCGAGTGCACTGACTTACTGTATTTGAGGAAGACTTGCAGTTTTGATGAAAATTATATTCATTTTGTATTTCAAAGATTAACTGGAGTCTTATGGGGTAGGAACAGCAGGAGGGTGAGTAAAGTATTATTTTCATTTTCATTCTCCATTAAGCCTTTGACTTTCACAGAATCTTGAATAGTGCTGTAAGATCTATAATAGGCCATTTGTAATAGCTCTATAAACAGCCATAAACTGGTAAGGGAGTGACCTGCTTATTACAAGCTGTATGTCTAACATATTCATACATGAAATCCAATAAAATAAACCTGATATTGCCTCAGGGTTATCAATGCTAATTCTCCACACCAGTCTCTGTATCTCTACAAAATAAACTGATCCAGTAAGACACGTGATTGATAGCAACCCAAATAAAACTGTCCTGCGAGGAACAGACTGTCATTACGCAACACTAGTGAAGACTTTCTTGTTCGGTAAAGCCTTAGTGACTTTCTAGTTGTCAGTATTAGCCGTGACAATTGTTCTCAGGACAGCAGAGCTTCAAAAAGCATCAAAGGATGAGAATCAGAGGAGTTTGTGTGTGGTGTGTTAATTCAGACACTCATCACAGTCACTGAGGGTTTGTTATTTCAGGTTGACTGGAAGGAGGACACATAATGAAAGATTCTGACTGAGTTTCAAGAACTTTCCCTTGATGTGCTCTTGGTTTATTTTATTCACTTAATCTTTTCTGCCAATATAAGCTTATGTTTACTCGGCCGTAAGAGACATTCATACAGGGGAGATTGTTTATTTGTTTATGCAGATTTATTCATGACAAACTAATATGCACCTTGTAGGAGCTTGAAGTCTGGAGGAACTTTCGGTGAGTATATATTTTTTTATTTTATTTTTTTAAAAAGCAAGTTGTTTATTAATTTCTCATTTAAATGCTTGGAAGAAACTTAATAACTTATTTAAATATTTTCTATACGACATAAAAAATAAAATCTCATTAAATAACATTAAAATCTCATAAAATAATTGATACATACACAGTGTTGAATGTATCAACTGTCCCGAGTTGTAAAAAAAACAGTTACAGTCACAGTACACACACAATTTCTCTCTCTCAAAAAAAAAAAAAAAAAAAGAAGAAGAAGAGAAATCAGTGGGTTAGTTTTCTCCAAAATTGCACTAGTATGACCCATGCGGTTACTAATAAATGCTTTTCAGAAATAAAGATTAGCTGGAGTTATAAGTCCAAAGTAATATCTTTATTCAGTAAGGACGTACTAAATTTATCATGTGACGATAAAACATTTACAATGCTACAGTAGCTTTCTCAATCAATTTCATGCTATTCTTTTGAACCTTCTGTTTTTCAAACAATTCAGAAGAAAATTAATTAATTTATTTTCGTTCGACTTAGTCTCTATTTCAGAGGTTGCCACAGCGGAATGAACCTTTAACTGATCCAGCATGTTTTACAAGGCTGATGTTCTTCCAGCCACAAGCCAGTACTGGGAAACACCCATACAAACTCATTCACATACACTCATAGACTACAGACAATTTAGTTTATTCATATCACCTATTCCAAATTGAATTGTGGGAGAAACCCATGCGAATTCTGGGAGAATGTGCAAACTCCACACAGAAATGCGAACTGGTTTATCCGGGACTCGAATGAGCTCCCTACTTGCTGTGAGGCAACAGTGCTAACGACTGAGCCACCACCAATAAAATGAAACGTTTTAAAAAATATAGTTTAATAACTTAAATAACAGTTGTCGTTTTTTATTACAGAATAAACAAAACAAATTTTGGAAATATTTTATGTAAAAAAAAGTTTTTAATTGCTTTAAAAACATCTAAACAGTTTGATCAATCTTTCGCTGAATTAATGTATAATATTATTTGACATTTTATCTTAAACAACAAATGTACTGCCTGTTGTTAAAGCATTAACTGTTAAGCAATGGGCCATATTGTGTAAAGCGTCACATGATTTGACTTATTCTCTAAAGATCCAACAATGAAAGTATGCATTTTTCCTACATGCATTGTAAAACATCTAAACACTTTTTGCTCAGCAGCCACTGGGTCTAGTAGTTTTTCAAAGTTTCTAGCCACTCTGCTAGCCACAGTTTAGTTGTGGGAAAATGTACACTCACTGGCCACTTTTTTTCGGTACATAAATGTCCAACTGCTCCAATATGTCCAACTGCTCATTAACGCAAATTTCTAATCAGCCAATCGCATGGCAGCAACTCAATGCTTTTAAGCATTTAGACATGGTCAAGATGATCTGCTGCAGTTCAAACCGAGCATCAGAATGGGAAAGAAGGTAATTTAAGTGACTCTGAACATGGCATGGTTGTTGGTGCCAGATGAGCTGGTCTTAGTATTTGAGAAACTGGTGATCTACTGGGCTTTTTACCACACAACCACCTCTAGGGTTTACAGAGAACGATTTGAAAAATATCCAGTAGGTAGCAGTTCTGTGGGCGTAAATGCCTTTTTGATGCCAGAGGTCAGAGGAGAATGGCCAGACTGGTTCAAGCTGATAGAAAGGCAAAAGTGGCTCAAAGAACCACTTGTTACAACAGAGGTATTGAGAAAAGCATCTCTAAATGCACAGCACGTCCAACCTTGAGACGGATGGGCTACAGCAGCAGAAGACCACACCGGGTGCCACTCCGGGAGCCGGTGCCACCGGCTCACCAAAACTGGACAACAGAAGATTGGAAAAACGTTGCCAGGTCTCGATTTCTATTGCGACATTCGGATGAAGGGTCAGAATTTGGCATCAACAACATGAAAGCATGGATTCATCCTGCCTTGTATAAACAGTTCAGGCTGGTGGTGGTGTTGTACTGGTGTGGGGGATATTTTCCTGGATTAATGCAGTTCTGATGGCAAATAGGGGTTCAACCCAGTTCTAGTAAGGTGTACCTAATAAAGTGGCCGATGAGGGTATTATTTACATGCTAAAATTACTGTACTTAAATACAAAAAAAAGGGCATTTTGGTCAATTACAATTCACAAAACTCATTAAAGCAGATTTAAATTTCATTTGTGTACAAGTGACGTGAGAATGTGTATGTGAGGGAGAGCTAGATTAAACATCATGAGGTTTTCATCACCATGATTCATTCCTTCTCTGCTGGTCTTTTGCTGGGTTCACACCAAATGTAGAGTACATCACATACAAATTCAATGCAAATAGAGGCAAATTATCACCACACGGTGTGAATGACACTGAATGCGTGACATGTTTTCTGTAAACTTGTGGAATTCGCCTCAGTTGTGTCTACCACACAAGTTCAAATAATTGAGTTTTGTGTATTGTGACATTGCTCAATAGTGCGCATGAGTAAACACTGTTGCATGGATTGCACATGGGAGTTGTGGATTCTTACTGTTATATTAAAATTCATTTTTATTTGACATGACTTTAAACAACACTACAATTTATAGGGTATCCTCAGCCTGCACGTGTCGCAATTGAAAGTGGCATTTGGCAGGTGTTAATGTCAAGCTCTGGATTCAAAGTAAGACTAAAACTTTCAGAAATGTAATTTTGTGCAGGAATAATGTAAAACATCAATATAATCCTCAAGAACTGAAAACCCCAAACAAACAGAGATAGAAGAGCATGATTAAACTGTTTCATTATTCATCAAACCGCAGAGTGATTTTCATTTTTCACCACAAACCAGACAACTGCGCTACAACATTAAAAAGTGTGTCTGAGGGCTAAATTAGCAGATATTAAACAGAAATGTGCAGCGAGTGTCTTTTCCGCTCGAAGCACACAAGCACGTCTCAATTAAACTGGAAGCTGACTCCACACTTTCAGCGGCCTGACTTTTATTTCCCCCCAGGCCCGGACACTAAAGTGAGCAAGTGTACATTGAGCAGCGATAAAAGGTGAAGGCATGAGACACACACCCGCTCATGGGGCACGAGGCCGTCCACATTTCCAGAGGAAGACTGGCCACACCAGTGTGAAATTCCATCACAGGATTTCCTGAATTTCATTTTTCCGTCTGAAAGGCTTATGACTGCAGCTCAGCAGACCATTATTTCAGCTCCACAAAGCTGAAGGCAGGAGGACAACACACGCCGGTGGGCATGTGCACACACACACACACACACACACAAACTGAACCATCCCATAAGACTCACGTGATGTGTTTCCTCTGAGCAGGATCCATGAGGCGCAGTGTGTCTCTGATCACTCCCACTTTCACCTCCTCATCTACTGGACTGGGGATGTATTCATACACACCAGGTGAGACCTGAAACATGTGAAGTCATTATAATATCAGCATCCTAACAGACAGATGCTTCTGTTTCTATTGGGCTGTAAACTCAAGTTTCATCTTCTTCTAGGTAACTTCTTAGTTTGTTTGGAGTTGTTAATTATTTTTCACCTAATGCTGAGCAAGGCAAAAAAAATAATAGTTTTAATAACTTATTTAAAATAGCTGATTTTTTCTATCTTTGCCATGATGACAACAAATAATATCTGACTAGACACTTCTATACAGCTTAAAGTGACATTTAAAGGCTTAACTAGGTTAATTAGGTTAACTAGGCTGGTTAGGGTAATTAGGCAAGTGATTGTATAACAATGGTTTGTTCTGTAGACTATAAAAAAAATTATAGCTTAAAGGTGCTAATAATTCTGACCTTAAAATGGTGTTAAAAAAATAAAAACTGCTTTTATTCTAGCCAAAATAAAACAGATAATACTTTCTCCAGAACAAATAAATATTATCAGACATACTGTGAACATTTCCTTGCTCTGTTAAACATCATTTTGGAAATATTTAAAAAAGAAAAAAACAAAGGGGGCTAATAATTCTGATTTTAACATTAAGTACACCCCTATCAAATCTTTCTTTTAAATTCCTATTTTTAATAGGAAGCTATACAATATTATTTTTTTTGCATATACATTAAATTAGTCAGTACTAAGCCAAATCTAGAGTTATCTAACAAAATAACTTACAATAGCAGTCCAAAAACTAGTGCACCCACATTTATTTGCTATAGAAAAATATTAAATACAAATTAAAAAAAAAGAGCAAAAATCAAAAGAAGCAAAAAATGTGAAAATGTTTGTTGAAATTTTGAAGGTTGTCAATTTTTTTACAATATTTTGCTTGAATTTTAATTGTATTATCTTTCAATTTCTGAATATGTTTAGTGACTAAAATATCATTTTAATAAATATATCTGTTTATTAAATCTTTTTTGTTTAAATGCACCACAATACATTGCATATATTCAACGAAATAAATGGATACAAATAATCATTTTCAAAATGGGGTGTACTCAATTATGCAAAGCACTGGATATCTATATACACGGCATAAAATTGCTGCTCTCTATTTTACTATTAATTGAAATGTCTTTTGTTCTGGTAATACAAAGCTCGATTTTCTACATTCATTGCTTCAGTCTTCAGTGTCTCAAGATCCTTTAGAAATTATCATCAATGTGAAACGATTCTAAAGAAACACATTATTATTATCAGTGTAGAAAACATTGATTATTTTTTTATGTAAACATTGACGCATTATCTGATGAATAGAAGGTCTAATAAATAGATTAATAGAATTATTTTGTGCCTTCCTGAATCTATGTATTTGACTTTGAACATATAGCACTGTTATGCAATGCATTAATTAAACAGACTGAGTAATTATTTTGACTTACAATTAAATTGAACTGTTCTTTGATATAATAATTTTTAAATGCAAGTGTTATATGATAGTTCCACTTTTATATTTCTTTTATGTTATTTTTTTCTATTTTAGTCATGGAACAACTGTTTAAAAAAAATACCATGTTATTTTTATATTTATGACATGTACAGTCCCATGGCATTTTTTATTTTAAGTAACCAAACTAATATAGTTTGACACAATAAATTACATAAAATGTAATTAAAAATATTTTGACATGTATTTTTGAGGATAGTACTACCAAAGGTACTTTACGACAGCAGTTTATTTAAATCACAACACTTAAAAATAACATCTGCACCTCACCTCCTGCTCGTGTTCAATCCTCATGCTGGGATTGGCATTGACTTCTAATAAAACAGGCTTCAAGTTCTTCATCAGCAGGATATCAAAGCCCAGGATCTAAAATTGGGACACATCGTCATCTGTAATTAACTATTCATTAACTTTGAAAAACAGAATTATGAGTCACTCCATGAAGAAAAAGCAGTGCATTTGCTCATTGTGCTCTTTTGAGTGCTTATTATAGTGATGCAGGCCACAAAAAACACATTGCATGCACCAAAAAATGAAGATCACACTTTAGTTTGGGGACCAACTCTTACCATTAACTAACTATTAAAGGGATAGTTCACTCAAATGTGACATTTATATCATCGGTTACTATTCCTCCACTTGATCCAAACCTGTTTATTTCTTTATTTATTTTTTGATCCGTTAAACACAAAAGATTATATTTTGACAAATGTTGGAAACCTTTAACTATTGACATCCATTATAGGAAAAACAAATACTATGGAAGTCAATAGTTGCAAGTCTCCAACATTCTTCAACAGAACAAAAACATTAAAACTGGTGGAGAATTAGTAAATGGTGGCTGATTTTTTTTTTTTCATTTTTGAGTGAACTATGCTTTAAACTTTGACTTTTACTTCTCCAAAAGTGTGACGCAGGACAAACGCAGTGGAGCTTTAATTATACCTCTTTCTATCTCTTTCAAATTCTTCCAGTGGTGATCACATGATCATGATGAATGCTGTTTTATCAAACCGAATACTGTACATGTACACTGTACTGTACACTGATCACACGATCAGAAACTGGGCCCGATCACGCACTTTCAGACTTGATTGGAATCAGACATTACCTCCCGTTAAGTACTTGCATATATATGTATATATATTCTCATTATTTTTGAACACATCTATAGTTATGCAGTGGCACAGAGTTAGACCTCTTTCTTGACTTCACACTTGACTTTGGCATGACATCACTTTGTTGCAGAGATGCTATTGGTCAGAAAGCGCAAGTTTGTTTGCGGTCTGGAGGTATTATAAAGTGGATAATGACAGAACTGAAAAGGAAAAAGCTAAATTTAACACAACAAACCTGATAAGGCATCTCAAAAACAAACACCCGACACAATACAGCCAATTTACACAGGCAACCCAAGGACAGGCGACCCACAGGACATCACAGCCAAGATAGCACAAATGATCACAATGAGTGACCTGCCATTTGCCTTTGTAGAGAACCCTGGATTTCTCATGCTTAGTGAGCACGTAAGAATGTATGTAATGTATTTATTAGATGATTGTTCAAGCTACCTCACAGAAGTGCTCTGTGTATTAACAGAGTTGTTGAATGTTCACAAAAGGTAAATTAAATTAAAAATAAGGAACATCTTGGATCTGTTTCTTCGCTCTTCTTTATTATTTTTATGTATTATAAAAGTATCGGATTGGGTTTTGGTATCGGTAGATACTTAAAATCAAATCACTCGGATTAAAAAAACCTGATCAGGAAATCCCTACACTCAGAAATAAAGGTACAGGAGCTGTCACTGGGACAGTACCTTTTCAAAAGATACAAATTTGTACCCATAGAGCCCACAGTGGTACCTCAAAGGTGCATATTAGTGCCCAAATGTACCTAAAAAGTACCTTTGAGGTACCATGTGGACCCTTCAGGTACAAATATGTACCTTTTGAAAAGGTACTGACCCAGTGACAGCTCCTGTACCTTTATTTCTTACAGTGTACTATTTTACAAATCTTGTATATTGTGCCTTAAATAGTGAAAATTGGGCCCCAAATTAAAGTGCTTCCAAAACAAATAAGCAAATATACCTGAAAACATGTGGGTCCTGGTTTTCCAGGTGGTATGTCAGCCTGGTAATAGACCTTCAGTTCAGGCACAAGTGCAATTACAGTCTTGATAACCAGAGCAATGATGTCTGACCAGACCTTCTTGATGTCCACTCCTTTAGACGCCAGGCGGTAGAGGACGCTAGAGAAGGTGCGTTTACTGCCCGTGCTGCAGCTGTCAGAGTGGACAAAGTTACCGCTGTGCACATTCAGCGAGTAGTTGGTAAGGTGCATAAAAACATGACTGAGGTTCTTCTGGCTGGGCTCCTGGTAGGGTTCGGTGCAGAACCTGGACAAGCCTTCTTTAGCGATATAGATTTCTAGAGGATCCAGTGAGCGGACCAGAACGTACAGGCGGATGTCAAACTTGAGTTTATCGATGAGCAGGGGCTTCTGGATGTATTCTTGAACGACCGATTGCTTGATCTGAGAACCTGAGATCACCCGAAGGTCAGCAGGGTCGCGGATGAGGTAGATGCCATCCCCTTGGGATCCACTGTCCGGTTTGACGATGAAGGTGGGTTTGAGAATGGAATCGTTATCTTTCAGGAGACGAATCTGGAAAAAAAAAGACATACAGCAATATTTTTTAAAAATATCACTGCAAAATAATTGAGATGCATTTTGCTATATGAACATAATAATAATGATTTAATGACATTCTGGTAACACTTTAGCTTAAGTACCAATTCTCAGTATTAACTAGTGGCTTGCTACATGCCTATTATTAAGATATTATCTGTTTAGTAGTACTTATAAAGTACATATTCGGCATAATCTTATTCTACATCTCTAAACCTAACTACTACATTAATAACTATAGCAAAAATTATAGCAAAAGTGTTGTTCAAAGTATTTGTTAAAATAACATGTTATCAAATCTCAAATATTTTATTATCTGTTTTTAATCTGTATCTATTTAAATTAAGTGGAAATTAAAATTGTATAACAATTTACCAACCCTTGATTTATTTTCTAAAATAATCTTCATTGTTCAAAACCTGTGGTCATAACAAAAGTCTTTTAATTTATAGAAAACGCAATGCTAAAAATGAGAGAACAGCTGTGGAACAGCCTGAAGAAACATCATAACTTTCATTTCTGAAGGTTACAGAAGTGAAAGAATGATGGGTAAGTGTAGAGGCATTTTAGCACATCTTCATCAGCACTTCTTCAGTCTCTTCCTCACTTCACTGACTGCAGTGGCTTTAAATCAGGACTCAGGTTTGGTCACTTGAGAGTGGCCTTTCAGTCCAAATTTACTTTAAACTTCAAGACACTGTGTGCAGAGACAAATCCTTTCTCTTGTCAGCACTGAACTCACAAGCTTTTCCAGCTGCAGTAGTGAACCAACTCACCATTGAGATCTTCCACATTATCCTGTCCTCTTATGCTTTTTTCAACCTTTTTGTGGGACTTGAACATTAGAGATAATGTAAAAAAAAAAAAACTGACTAAAGGGCTTTTAGTCATTTTAAAATGGTACTACTGTTAGATAATTTAAGCTTAAGCAGTGACCTTGAAATTAGGGCTGAATGATAAAAGTGATAAAATGTATGTCAATAACAATGATAAGCTCTGGACTTTTTTACTCCATGTTGATCTATGAGCAGTTTTCTCAGCAGAAAACAATGGAAATCTAAAAGTGTGTTGATATTAGAGATGTACTGAATTTTCAGCCATAGAAAATTTATTGTCCGAAAATATGGTATGGCATTTAATGGACCCTTTCATTTTTGTGACTTCAGCTATTGTCTGGGTACTCTTTCAAATCTGGAAGCATTAACAACTCATATCGAAATGTGTATCATTATTGTTGAAATTGCATCACTGGGAAACATCTATACATACTATTCACACTCATACACAATGGACAATTAAGCCTACCAAATTCACCTGTACCACATGCCTTTGGACTTGTCGGGGAAACCGGAGCACCCGGAGGAAACCCACGCCAACACAAGAAGAGTATGCAAACTCCACACAGAAATGCCAACTGACCCATTCGGGGCTCGAACCAACGACCTTCTTTTTTGCCTGTGAGGCAAACCTGCTAGCCACTAAGCCACCATGCAGCTCCAAATTAAAAACTTAATAAATGAAAAAAATGATTGAGTTATTCATAACATTATTATTGTAATGCCTAAAAGGTGATTATTTGACAGAGGTTTCTGATAATGTTGACTTGCTCTAAATGACAACAGATCAATTCAACAAAACAAAATATACAAGTTAAAGCGATTCTGGTCTGTTCTGATACAACAATTGCTTGTTAAAATCCACTCATGGAATTTTAATTGGTAGTTAAAAGCATAGTTTATCCAGAATTTAATATTTACTCACTATTTACTCCATCAGTTGGTTCCTTTGTCTGTTGAAGACTTTAAAAATAAAATTTTTAGCAATGTTAGAAACCTATAACTATTGATTTCCATAGAAGAAAAAAACAAAAAATGGAAGTCAATGGTTTCATGTTTCCAACATTTTTCATAAAAGCTTATTTAAAAAAAAGAAACTCAAACAGGTTTGTGACAAGTGAAGGTTGAGTAAATGATGACACATTTCTGATGACAGACTCCTTTAAAGCTTAATGTGTCAGACTAATGCAATGGTTTTCTTCAGCCAGGATGTATCAGCAAAAGATTTTCTTACGCCTTTGAAAAAACTTCCCACAGATCTCTACTGCCCTCTGCAGCTTATCTAATAGAAAATGTTTTCCAAAACAAGGCCACAAGCCATGCTCAATAGAAAAATGCATGTAAATATTTATAATAAATAAAAATAATTGATCCCAAAACTAGTTCTAAAAAAAAAAAACAGTAACAATAAGAAGAAGCACAGTTTGAGTTACCCTACAGGATAAACAGAATAAAATAAAAGCCAGCCCATATAAACAAATAAAGAAATAAATCACAGAGCTAACATGTGGTAGGGGATTGAATGGGTAAATCCTGTAACTGTAAGATCTTGTAACAAACTTGTCATTGACAATTAGTTGTTGCTGGGCTGGTCACTAAACTGCTTAACCTGGTTTAACGGTTATTCTGTCCTGACCAATTGCTACCACAGCAATCTGCCTATAGACACACCTTTGAGATAAAGCCTTTTGCACTTTTTGCCTATTGCTTACTGCACTGTTGTCTCACAGCAAGAAGGTCACTGGTTCAAGTCCCTGCTGGGTCAGTTGGCATTTCTGTGTGGAGTTTGCATGTTATCCCCATGTTATTGCAGATTTCCTTTAGGTGCTCCAGCTTCCCCCACAGTCCAAAGACATGCACTATATGTGAATTGGATGAACTAAATTGGCTGTAGTGTTCAAGTGTGTTTGTGTGTGAATGAGAGTGTGTGGGTGTTTCCCAGTACTGGGTTGCAGCTGGAAGGGCATCCTCTGCGTAAAACATATGCTGGAGTACTTGGCAGTTCATTCCAATGTGGCGACTCCTGATGAATTATGGACTAAGCCGAAGGAAAATGAATGAATGAATGAATCATACAGTTCAATGAATTCATGTGTCTGAATCACAGCAGCTGCCAGATGCAACCTCTGCTCCTCCATGTTGCCAGATACAGTTATTAATAGGCGTTTCATGATTGTTTGTTTGTTTTTTCAGGGTTTTTCACATTTAATGGAGAGGACAGTGGAGAGTGAAGACAGGAAAGCATTGGTAGGGTAAGGATTGGCAAAGACCACGACCCGAAATCGAACTTAGATTGCTGTGAGCACTGCTGTGCCAGATGTCAATGCACTAACCAGTAGGCTATTGGCAACGACCGCAAGGTTGGTTTTTAATCAAGATGGATATAGGAGGGCTTGGTTCAGCAGTTATGTATAATTTTGCAAGATAAAAGATGTTAAGCTAATTTTGGTGCATTTTATGGTGCATATTTGCTTTTGTTTGTTTTTCATAGTAATATCTGGCAACACTGCATCATTGACACTTGAAAGCAGCAATCCAAAAAGCGGGGTTTCTGCAGAGTTCACCAAGTTAAATATAAGACTTTTAAGACCATTATGAATAAAATTTTAGACTTATATAGGGGTAAATGCTAAAGATGTTTTTTTTATTATCCCAGTTAGAAAAGAATTTCAGTTGCCCTATCAACAATGATTAAAATTGAGTACATTTAATAATGTAAAATTAATATATTTTATATATATATAGTTTTATTAATTTTCAAATATATCCATTCACAAACCCTATACCCTTACCAAGAATAAAACAAAACATAGCTGTCAATTACTTTAGTCTACAATAATAATAATAATTTAATAATATAAATATATGGGTCAGGTCAGTATCCTAAGCAGTAAATAAATGGAGAACTTTTAAACAAATGTAACTGTAAGAAAGTAATTAAATGCTATTAAAAAAATGTTATAATAAGATGGATTGGTGGTGATTGTATGGGTGTTAATGGCCAGATTGAGTAGCTATACAACAAAGAAAACTTAAGACCTGTTAAAAAGATTTAAGACCCACAACATTTCAATAGATTTAAGACTTTTTAAGGCCTAAAATGAAGCTTTTGAGATTTAAGACATTTTAAGACTGAGACCCTAAAAAAGATGCGTGTGGATTGTTTATTGCTGAGGAGGCCCCATTCCATACGATAAACATAATGATCATCATGATAATATCTGTACATGTCTAGAGCAGACACCCTCATTGATCTGATCTTTAAAACAAAGTAAAAATAAAAAAACACTAACCAAGATAAAGACTATGCTGTTTTATTAAGTTCACTAATATTTGTTCATGAACATTCATAGTGCATAATGTCTTATTTATCATTCATATATACAGTTGAAGTCAGAATTATTAGCCCCCCTTAGACTTTTTTCTTTTTTAATTAAGTATATAAAAAAATATACTTTTTTTTCTGGAGAAAGTCTTATTTGGCTAGAATAAAACTTTGGCTAGAATAAAAGCAGTTTTTACTTTAAGAAAAAAAAAACATTTTAAGGTCAAAATGATTAGCCCATTTAAGCTATATTTTTCGATAGTCTACAGCAGGGGTCACCAATCCTGTTCCTGGAGGGCCGGTGTCCCTGCAGGGTTTAGCTCCATCTTGCCTCAACACACCTGCCTGGATGTTTCAAGTATACCTAGTAAGACCTTGATTAGCTTGTTCATGTGTGTTTGATTAGGGTTGGAGCTAAAATCTGCTGGACACCGGCCCTCTAGGAACAAGTTTGGTGACCACTGGTCTACAGAATAAACCATCATTATACAACAACTTGCCTAATAACCCTAACCTGCCTAGTTACCTAATTAACCTAGTTAAGCTTTTAAATGTCACTTTAAGCTGTATAGAAGTATCTGGAAAAATATCTAGTCAAATATTATTTACTGTCATCATGGCAAAGATAAAATAAATCAGTTATTAGAAATGAGTTATTAAAACTGTTATGTTTAGAAATGTGTTGGAAAAAAAACTTCTGTCTGTTAAACAGAAATTGGGGAAAAATAAACAAGTAGGCTAATAATCCAGGGGGGCTAATAATTCTGACTTCAACTGTACATATAGAGCCATAATTATTGCACAATTCCTAACAGCCCCCAGGCCTCAGCTACGACCAGGCATGTACCTGTGTGCAGAAGAGCTGGTATTCCTCAGGCAGAATCCAGGATCGTGGATAGAAGTTATACTCCTCCGGGTAAATCTCCTGCATGGTGCGCACAGCTCGACTCAGATTTATCTTCCTCAGCATCTCTATCATTCCTGCTGACCGACAGGATAGTTAATGAGAAAACAGAGTGAAGTCAAAAAGAAATGGCACAAAGGCCAGAGATGCCGTCGTTCCCCATCCGTTTATAGCCCTACAGGGGAGTCATGCTCTCAACAAAAATGACACATTTTTAAAGCCCTATTTCCCAGCAGTTTCATTAAATCACTTGATGATTTTCTTTCAGTGGCTCAATAGAGTTCACACACAGGCTTGGACAGCCTGCCTGTGTGAAAGCAACTGTCAATACAGCTATGAAAACAGCCATATTACATCCAAGCCATGAGTCAGCAGCACTCCCTTATGAATTCAGAATTTCAGGGAACAATACTCACCCTATGACTGAAAACTTTCTTCAAAAAGTAAGTGCAGAATGTGGCCTGTATCAGCAGCTTTATGATTCTAGAAATTCATTTAATTGTGTTTTCAAAGTACAGTTGTTTGCTCGTCTGACAACAGTTAGTATTGATTTTGAGTTTTTGAAGTAAATTTGTTTTAGCAAAGACTTTGATAGTTACAGTTTGTGATTTATGGACACATTTTGTTTCATATATTTTAATTTCAAAACAGTTTTGAGTTAAAAAAAAAAAAAAACTTTTAAAAAATAACACTTTATTTATTTACACAGGAATCAGTATCACCAGAGACAGTGGACACAATACTGGAATATCAGCCCAAGTGGAAATCAGTGAGACATAAACAGGTCAGATTGTTGTATTGTTATTGCATGTACAGTTGAAACCAGAAGTTTACATACACACTAAAAAAAGGAATATAACCATTTTTGTTAAATGTCTGATGGTAAATCATACTAAACGTTTACTATTTTAGGTCCGTTAGGATTACCTAAACCATTTACATATGCTAAATGCCAGAATAATGAGAGAAGTTTTTAAAAATAATTTTCTATTAATTTCTAGACTTTTAAAAGTTTACATAAATTTCCTTGGTATTTTGTTAGCGTTGCTTTTAAACTGTATAACTTTGTTCAAATGTTTTGGGTGTCCTTCCACAAGCTTCTCACAATAATTTGAAGGAATTTTGGCCCATTCCTCCTGACAGAATTGGTGTAACTGAGACAAATTTGTTGGCTGTCTTACTCGCACAAGCTTTTTCAACTCTGCCCACAAATTTTCTATAGGATTGAGATCAGGGCTTTGTGATGGTCACTCTGTTGTCTTTAAAGCACATTTTAACTAATTTGGCAGTATGCTTAGTGTCATGGTCTGTTTGGAAGACCCGTTTGTGGCCAAGTTTTAATTTCCTGACTGATGTCTTGAGATGTTGCTTCAGTATTTCTACATAATGTTCTTTATGATGCCATCTATGCTGTAAAGTGGACCAGTCCCTTCAACATGACGCTGCCGCCCCCATACTTCACAGTTGGGATGGTGTTCCTAGGCTTGTAAGCTTTCCCCTTTGTCATCCAAATGTAACACTGGTCATTATGGCCAAACAATTCAATCTTAGTTCCATCAGACCACAGTACATGTCTTCCAAAAATTATTCCTTTTCCCAGTGTAATTTAGCAAATTGCAATCTTTTTTTTTTTTGATTCTGTCTTGTTGATTTTCCCATGTTGTCACACAAGGAAGCAGTGTGTTTGAGGTTTTCCTTAAATACTATTCTACAGTTGTGCCTCCAATTAACTCAAATGTTGTCAATTAGCCAATCAGAAACTTCCAAAACCTTGACACCATCATCTGAGCTTTTTCAAAGGCATAACAATCTTAATGTAAGTAAACTTTACTTTCAAGAAAAGTTATAACAATTTCTCAAAAAATATCTCTCACATTATTCTGCTATTAAGCATAACAAAAACAAATTTGATAATCCTGGCTTACCTAAAAAAGAAGAAGTTTAGTCACATTAACATATGACTTCTTTTAAATGGTTATGTACCTTTTTATACAGTGTATGTAAACTTCTGGTTTCAACTGTATATTATAAGTGCGTTCAAATGAGAGACGCAAACATGGTAAGCAACTGCTTATAAAAGTGAACATACATGTCCCGCATCTGATGCAATCACAATGACATTAAAAATCAGCAGTGCTTATTATTTTTCATGTTGTTTTAGATTATGGATTGCACTCTACTCTTACAACTAAGAGCTTCATTTTTAGCTGAACTAATCATTGCATGTATTTGTGTGTTTATGTTTATGAAATATGCAATAGACCCTTTTCACATTTCCGGGTTTCTTAGTAACCGAAGTCGGCATAGCTGGGAAAACTTAAGAGTGCAGTGAATGGGAGAATACAACAAAGATTTTTTTACAATCATATTTGCTGAAATAATAAAAGAATGAGTCCACAATGGTGTTATCAAGACTTTCAGTAAAAGGAAAAAAAATGTGTGAGACTGATGACGGCAGCCAGAGGAGAGAATGATGTCAGATTTACTGTGCTGCCCCCCTAGACTCTGTATTAGAAACGCCTCACACAAGCATTAATTCACTCTTTATAATTTAACGCAAAGATGATATAATGCATGTGCAAATGTTCAAACGCTTTAAAAAAATTCTAAATATTAAAAACTTTCAAGGATTTAAGATGCTGATGACAGTTAAACGTGCCATATCAGGCTTGTGAAAAGGGTCCATATGGTTCAATATTCAGAATAAAGCTATATCCGTGCAGTGAAAATTAGGGGGAGGAGTGAAAGAATTACCACCACTGAGTGAACAAAAGTTCAGGAGGAGGAGTCATGCAACTACAGCCAATAGGAGAGCAAGATTAGGAGGATGAGTCATAGACTTTCAACCAAACTTGTGAATGCAACCATTTCTCCATCATCCTTTTGTTTACTTTTAGAGCAAATCAGGGCACAGACAGCTTGTATTGCAAGCTCCTTCTGAGATGCCTTTTCTTTACATGAGAATAGCTGACTAATATCTGGCTCTATTATTTAATGTATCACTTCCCATTTATGTTTGGTATAAAATTTATAGAACAGGCAAAGATGTGAGTGAATCTTCCTATTGAAATGATTTGTAATGTGTGCCCATGTTTACGATTCATTGTGTGCCGAGTACCCAACAGTGACTAAATGGTAAGCCAGTTAAGCTCGGTCCACACACATATAGATATTTTTGCTAAACTGCAGTTTTTTTCTATGTGGTTTGGCTGTTTGTCCACATAAAAAAGCAGTATCAGGTGACTGAAACCCAAAACTGTATCAGGTATCTGAAAACTCACGCTAGAGTGTGTTTTTGCCTTATGACATTTATTTAGGCATGAGCCGGTATAAGATTCTGACGGTTTGATAAACTTGGATAAAAGTTTCAGGATAACATGGTATTTTAATTAATCTGGGTAAAAACATCATTTTTCCCCATTGATCTCAATATATTTTATTTTAAGAAACATTTAAAGCATTTTGGAACAGTAGCTTTTGATGTGGAGGGTCCTTTTCAGCTGGAGATACTGAAGAAACTTCCGTAAATATTCCATAGGTAGTTTTGTCAATATTAAAACCTTGACTTTTCTAAACCGTGGTGAACTAAAACAGTTGAAAACGGTTATCGCCCCATGCCTAGATTTATTCCAATGTTGCGTGTGTGCTAGGTGAGAATTATTTTGGGTTTTGTTTATTTTTATCCGTAAGAAAAATATTCTTTAAAAAAAAAAAAAAATACTCATTTTTTTTTGTCACAAACATTTTTAGTCAAATTTTTTTTTTAATAATGTATTTTTAATGATCTCTCCGTGTGCATCAAGATTTCTTGGCAGAAGCATGCATTTCTGTTTATTGTTTGCATTAATTCATTTATTTATTCATTCCACCAGGGTAAATGCACAGAGAATAACTGTTGTTAGTTAATTGTGCATTCCTTTATTTTGCAAGACAGTGTGGGTAAAATAATACTTGGTACATTGGAAAAGTCTTGGGGAGTATCATTGTTTATTTATTAATTATTTATTATTGAGTATTTTTAGGTGTCACAAACCAATTTTGACAGGATTCTCCAGGTCATTTGCCCAAAAATAGTCTATGCATACTGCATATAGTAGATAATGCATTCTGTGAATACATAAAAATACCTGTGTACACATGGCCTTAGTCTTGTAGTATGAGAAAATCATCGATGTGCCAATCAAGAAAATCTTGCAGTATGTTCCTGGCATAACAGTGATGATGTTTCTACTGTGACAAGATCTCTCAAGAACTACTTTTTGTAAAGTTTACCTGGGAATTTGTTGACTTGCCCAGAGACAATGTTCTCGTTGTCATGAAAAGAGACGCCGTGCCAGTAGATATCGCAGGCTGTCCGCCTACCCATCGGAAACTGCCGGATCAAAGGAAAGAAGATATTTGAGGGAAAGTGAAGGAGGTGAACTCCAGTCACAACACAATAAACAAGCCATTCTTATGACAAAAAGGTAAAAGCCAACCATGTTTACAACTGTATCAGAAACACAAGAACTCGCATCTGAATGACTTTTTCCCCAAAAATGTAGTAAACTATTCCTTCCTGCATTATAAACATCAAGGCTACATTCTCAATGAATTTTAGGCTCAACCACAATTAAGTTTTATAGCTCTATGCCTTCCCCTTGGCCCATCACAGCATAAGACGATATGAAAATATTTCCTTAAAACAGGGGTGTCCAAACTCAGTCCAGGAGGGCCGGTGTCCTGCAGATTTTAGCTCCAACCTGCTTCAACACACCTGCAAGGACGTATCTAGAAAGAGCTTAATCAGCTTGCCCAGGTGTGTCTGTAAGGTTGGAACTAATCTTTACAGGACACCGGCCGTCCATGACCGATTTTGGATACCCCTGCCCTAAGAGATGGAACACCACTATGATACCCAAGAATAACATGGCGATTTTTGATTGTGGACTACTAAATTGTCTCCAAGATCTACTTTAGAAGAAATATTGTGGTATTGTGCTACAGAAGAGACTGTATCAGTTGCAATTCTGCTTTCTCTTTCTCAATATACTGTACAATGACACATACATTACCATCAATTATGAACTCAGTGGTATGTAGTGTATATTATGTGAATTTGTAAACTGAATCTTTGTTTTTTCTTTGTTTTATCTTTGGCATGAAAAAAAGACTTTTTTTAAATGATTTTTTTAACAATTAAACAGAATTGTAGTTAGAGCACTGAGGGTTATTGTATAGTTACTGTAAGCTTCAGCAACAGAGACATGGTTAAGACATCATTTTTGTAGAGGAGAAAATCCATTTGAGCTCATTTGTGGTCAGGTTTCGACGAATTATACTCAGCGTGTGAGCTTCATGTGCATTTGTGCGAGTCTGTATGTGATGACTAGGCTGCAGTGTGGGCTGAGCGTGAGATAAGTTATCAAGGGCACTAATCAGGATGCAGGTATGCAGTGTGCTTAGTATAGGCTAGGTTATGCGCCTTGAGCTGGATTTTGGGAGGATTATGTCACTGTTTAACAGGCTAATGTAGTGTGAGGAGTTGTGTCTATAATGTTAACCTGGCACGCACGACAAGCCACAAGTCTGTGATCAAATTAGGAATATGCACAAGTTTGCAGGTTTGGCAACAGTTGTCCTCACAAATACACTAAACTACTACAGAACTTTAAGGATGTCTTAAGTGGAAGTATGAGGCTAAAACCAATGTAATTAAAACAACTGACACACCAAATGAAAACTAAAGTGTGTGCTCAAAAAAAAACATTTCTAGGCAGTCCAAAACAATTAATGAGTGACCTTTATATTCTCCAGTTGCTTTAATCTGAAGTACAGCAGTTTTGTGCAGATGACGTTGATAGATTACTGCATGAAACTGGCATAAACAAAAAGGGTTTTCCATTTCCTAATTCTCTTGAAAAACAATGGTTTATTTCTTCTAGAATTATGGTTTAATAAATCAAGAATGAAGCAGGGTAAAACTGAACTGGGAAATTCAATTAGATCTATCTTGGTTGAATAAATATTTATATACATCTGTGCGAGGTTGACACCAGCACATATTGTTACTGTACTGACTGAACTAATAACGTTCATTTAGAATAATTTTAGAATCTGATGCTTAATTGAGGGATTTGTGAATGTTTTAATGCCTAAGGGGATAGTTCACACAAAAAATTGTGTATTTATTTATTCATTTAAATGACCTGTACTTTTGAAAAAAAAAACAATAACCAAAATATTTAAACGTTTTGCATCAAAATGTTAACACTATTGTAGCTTTGCTTTATATTTAATGAATTATAATATGTTTAAAAAATAAGTAAGACTGCATTGCTCTGTCAGAGTTGAGGTTGAGCTGGTGAGATAATGAGGACATGCCTTCACAATCCAATCATCTTTAGACTTAACTAAATGAAGTCACTTGGGATTGAAGGTACAAGACACGTGGAACTGTCATGAAACGATGAGAAGGTAAAACTCACACAAAAAATTTATATAATCTATGCTTCTCATGTCCAATAAATTTTCAAAAAACACAAAATGACACATTATAAGATTTTATGCATGCTTATAACAACTGTCATTAAATGTTATTTGCTTAATTCATTATGTTAAATATTAATTATGCTTTAAATGCAAGGTTGTTTGAAACATGTTTTTGTTGGGACAACCTGACATCATCAAATGTCTTTGTCTTTGTCATGACAGCTTGACATTAGCAAGACAGCAACAACCGATCAGATTAATGGCCTCCTGACATTTATGTTTATGACAGATTTATGACATGTTATGTTGTCTTGTAATGTCAAAATTCATGACAGTAAACAACAGGTTATGGTCAATATATTTATCATCACCATTAATTTAAGTTGTCATAAAGATAAAGACATCTCAAACAATGTCATCTTGCCATTTAAAATGACATAACTGTAAATATGACCCAAACATAAAATGACAGTGATGTCAGTCAGAAAATGACAATATTGTCAGTGATAAAAGCAAATTTCCTTTCATTTCACGATTATAACAGTTTTGTGATTTGAACACCCCCTTCAAGTAAAGTGTTACCAAACAATCTCTTATTAGAAAAGGCAATACAATATGTCTTTGAAAGTCTAACAGTTACAGTTCTGTTTTCCACTCTTTCTACAGAGGATCATTGACCTTGCCACTATCAGCCTTTCCCTCTTCAGATATAGTATTTCTCATCTGTTCCAGACAAATAGATATGTTTACCTGGTCTGGCACATTACAACACATACAAATACAACCTTAAGTACTAACGTTCTATTGCTCCATGCTGTACTGGCAAGAAGAGCAGTGGGAATACAGGAACATGGGATTATCCCAGATTGTGCTTAATCATTTACCACAGTGAGGCCACAACCATATGGTGAAAGTCAGCGCTCAACTGCATTACTTTTTATGTCTTTGCAACCATGACATATATTGAACTTTTTGAGATCCATGCACTTCCATTCGTCATTGTATACGGAAGTAGTTGGTGATGCTAACTAGTAGCTAACCAATGTTAGAGTCTTTATGAAATCCAAACTAACTAAAATCAATTACATTTTACTTCAGTTAATCCACAGAACAAAATGGTGTGTCTTGGTAATCTTTCATCAAAATCTGAAAATGTGCTCTGGAACAGCATTCACTCTCTTATTATCAGTTTGACAGCTTGTGAAGAATATGATCATGACTAGGGCTGCACAATATATCATTTCAGCATCAATATCACAATGTGATCATATATCGTATTATAATTGTATTATAATTTATTATTTGCATGTGTTTCTGACGCCTGGGATTGTATGATGATTTAAAATCATTTACGCATAAGAAATTGTACCATTTGTCATGTTTGTTAACAATTAATTTTATTGAATTGTTTTTATCATTGAATTACTTTACTTGAATGTTAGACTTGGAAAACAATAATACACTTTTAATTTTAATTGTATCTTTTTTTTTAATTTATAGAGTGTTTATTAGATTTTATGTAGACACACTCTTTAAAGAAACAAGACTAAAGTCTCTCAAAGTTTTTTCCGTTCTACTTGTTTCATCTAAAATAGTATTACAGTAGGTACATTATAAGAGTTAGTTATTTTACTTAAAACAAAAACTCACTATTTACTCATCCTCAAGTTGTTTCAAACCTTTTCTTTCTTCTGTTGAACACAATCTTAAAGCTGAAAACATTCCACTTACTTGGAAAAACAGATATGTAAGTCAATGGTTACAGGTTTCCAGCTTTCCTCAAAATAACTTAATTTGTGTTAAACAAAAGTTAGAAACAAACAGGTTTTGAACATGTAAAAGATGAGTAAATGATTTTTATTTTTACAGTGAACTATCGTTTCCCAGAGATGGGTTGCGGCTGGAAGGGCATCCGACCGCTGTGTAAAAATGTGCTGGATAAGTTGGCGGTTCATTTTCACTGTGGCGACCCCAGATGAATGAACTATCGCTTTAACTGTACTTAAAAAGTGAATAAACCCATTGCAACTTGAAACTATAAAGTTGACTTAACTTCTTTTCATAGTTAAACACAGTTAATTTACTTAATTTGTTCTTTATCTTTTATTAAGAGTGCAAAACAAACAACATACAGTAAACACAGAATACATGAACAGCGATAGAACAGAAATGGAAATAACAGGAAAGTGTGAAAATAAACAGCAGACAATCAGATTATTATTGTTACTATTTAAATAGTATTTATCATAATAATAATGATAAAGTTGGTGATGATAAAAATAATATTCAATATACAGTGCATCCGGGAAATATTCATAGGGCTCTATTTTGACAATCTAGGTGCAAAGTCCAGAGCGCAGGGTGCAAAAACATTAAGGGCATTTCAGAATTCACTTTTGCTATTTTAACCATAGAAAAAACTGCTTTGTGCCGTGGCACATGGTCTAGGAGGCTTGAGTTTATTCTCTTATTGAGTTATAGGTGTGTTTTGAGAATAAACCAATCAGAGTCTCATCTTCCAACATTTAAATGGAAGACTTTGTACGTAAGTGGAAAAACTGAGTGCTTCACTTGCGAGAAAATAATTTATTAAAAAATAAAAAAACTGAAAAATCACATGTACAGAAGAATTCACAGCCTTTGCCATGAAGCTCTAAATTAAGCTCAGGTACATTTTGTTTCCACTGATCATTCCTGAGAAGTTTCAGCAGCTTAATTGGAGTTCATCTGTGGTAAAATCAGTTGAGTAGACATGATTTGAAAAGCCTGTCTATATAAAGTCCCAAGGTTGACAGTGCATGTCAAAGCACAAACCAAGCATGCAGACAAAGGAATTGTCTGTAAACCTTAGAGATAGGATTGTCTCGAGGCACAAGGCTGGGGAAGGCTACAGAAAAATGTCTGCTGCTCTGAAAGTTCCAATGAGCACAGTGACCTCCATTATCCATAAGTGGAAGATGTTTTAAACCACCAGGACTCTTCCTAGAGCTGGCCGGCCATTTAAGTTGAGTGATCGGGGGAGAAGGGCCTTAGGGAGGTGATCAATAACCCGATGGTCACTCTATCTGAGCTCCAGTGTTCGTCTGTTGAGAGAGGAGAACCTTATAGAGCCAACCATCTCTGCAGCGATCCACCAATCAGGCCTGTATGGCAGAGTGGCCAGACCGAAGCCACTCCACGCCTGGAATTTGCCAAAAGGCATTTGAAGGACTCTCAGACTATAAGAAATAAAATTCTCTAGTATGATGGAGACTGGGGAGACGGTTCATCATCCAGCAGGACAAAGACTCAAAGCACACCACCAAAAAAATCAATGGAGTGGTCACAACAACACACAACAACTCAGTGACAGTCTTTAAGTGGCCCAGCCAGAGCCCAGACCTAAATCCTGTTGAACATATTTGAAGGAATCTGAAAATGGCTGTACACTGTCGCTTCCCATCCAACCTGATAGAGCTTGAGAGGTACTACAAAGAGGAATGGGCAAAAACTCCCAAAAAAAGACCTGAGGCTTTAATTGCTGCTAAAGGTGCATAGACAAAAGTATTGAGCAAAGGCTGTGAATACTTATGTACATGTGATTTTTAAGGTTTTTGATTTGTAATAAATTTGCAACAGTTTCAAAAAATCTTTTCACATTGTCATTATGGGGTATTGTGTGTAGAATTTTAAAGAAATAAATTTATTCAATGGAATAAGGCTGTAACATAAAACAAATGGTATAACTCACTTTCTTAAGTTACAGTGTTCATCTGATATAACAACAAAGAATAAAAGTTGGAGGATTAATAATAAACTTATGGATCACAACGCTACCAGTTCATACACACTTCTGATCCCAAGTGATCTCCTGTGATGCTTCTGTCTAACAAATTACGGCACCATATTTTCGCCGAGGCTAATTTTAGTAGCACAAAAACCTGAGCTGAACTCCGTGAAGACAATGAATGGGTCATGACAACAACTGCCATCAGATTGGCAGCTGTGTTGACAGCCAGTTCTGGCTCTTTGGCTCAAGTGGCAGCTCTTAAACTTCATGAGTTTGTGTCAACTGCTTACATGTAATATCATACCTTGTATCTCATTATCCCAACTAGATCTATATGATTCTTAATAACCTCAAATACTGATAGTCCTCAAAACATTTTCAAAACTCCTGATGGGAACACCTCCAGGTCTTCAATATACTGTAGCAGGCGGGATAAAAAGCATAATGGAGACAGGTTAACTTGAAACCAACCTTTAGCAAGGCAGCTTTAAATTACAAAGGCTTATAATATTTCAGTGGAGATGGGTAGAAGGGGTGTATATTCATTCAACGGGACCGTTCACTATATCTCCAGCCTGCCAGGTGTTGTGCACCACACAGTACTGCAAGCCTGGTATTATTCGACAGCTTATCAATATAATTATGAGAGTTTCTTTTTTAATGCAGGATGACTTCATATTGATGGTCAGGCAAAACAATATGCATGCGTTTGTCTATGGCGCTGAAGGACAAGGTTAAAGTCGGGTTGTGTCTGTTGAAATTTTAAACCGACCAATAAGTGTTCGATTACACTGCGGAAGACTATAGAAAGTGTAGATAAATCATCCATTTAGCATAACGGTCAAACAAAGTAAACAAAATGTGAGCCAGAAACATTTAAGTCATTCCAGGCAGAATTGCTTTGATTTAATTATAATTTATGTCCACTATTAAAAAAATGTTATAGAAGAAAAACTAGGTATCTTACTCTAATTATCACACTCAAGTACTTATGAATACAATTTGTTTTCTATGTTAAGCTGCTTTGACACAATCTACATTGTAAAAGCGCTCTATAAACAAACACGAATTGAATTGAGTAAAGAAGGGAAACAAAACTGCACAGAAACTTTACAAATTATAACAATGTGTTCCATAATAAAACTTAAAGATAATAATACCTGTTTATTTGTCTCAATCATATTGTCTGATCCTATTTTTTGTGAGAAATAATAAGATAATGAGATACTATTAAGTGACCTTATGTCGTAAAATGATAAAGGAAGGGGAAATGACCTACCATGCATCCTACCATGTGTCTGATAAGGGTCTGAGGTTAGAGTTAAGGCAGACACCAGGATTAATTGATTTAGATTAGAACCGGTGGTTTTATATTCTGCACATTAGAGTTGTATCCAATAATTCTTAGTATTGGGACTCAATATTTCCATGACTATTCTGTATTAGCTAGTACAATAAGGATTTTTGTATTATTATTTTTTAACGCAAAACATTTTTATCTGCTTAAAAAAAACTTACCTTTCTAAAAAAAAGTCTTATAGTAAAATTAGTAGTTATACATTAGTTATATAGTAAACTTTAGCTCCCATGGAACATTTTCAATCCATAAAAGACTATTCAATGCAGAAAACGTTTTTTAGATTATGAAAATGTTGATTGCACTCGAAAAAAAAATGGTGCTTTGATGTCCCTTCCCATCCGAAGGCTGTCCCCCAACCAACCCAACCCCCCCACCCCCCACCCCCCCCCCCCCCCCCCACAAAAAAAAGCATTATTAAAAATAAAAACTCTCAATTATAAAAAAATATATGTATATACAGCTAAAATAATTATCTTAGTAGAAAGAAAACCGCATTTATCATTTAAAATGCATTTACAGTTGAGTTCCCCCTCCCCTTCCCCAGAGTGGTTCAGTCCACGGCGTGCTTTGTACGTGCTGCGTGTGTGGCTGCGGCTGAGTTAATGCTGAATTTCAGTAAGTAGGGGGATTTTATTCACCTTAAATACAGCGATTCTCCTCAATGTAGTTAATACAGACTCGTTCATAAATTAGTTGCGACAAAAATGCTGATTACCAATGTAATTGTCCATGAATCTGCTGTATTAGCGATTAAAATTACTTATATAGTTAACAATAGCTTGTTGCTAACGCTAAAGCCGTTTTCCATGCATTGTTTCCTTTGTGACGACTTGGCATAATGTTAACTTAACATTAACGACCACAATTAATTAGCATATTGTTTAGCTGTGTATTTGCTAAATGAGCACTGCTACACTGAGCCCACTAACCCCATTGTATTTTTTGTGTAATCAGTTTCTATTCTGTTTTAAGTTACTCAATTAATTTGAAATTAAAATGTTAACCTTTTTTAATTCTTTGTTTTTATTGTTGTGATTATTTTTTATATTAGTTTTGTATTCTTTATGTAAAGCACTTTGAATTACCATTGTGTATATAATGTGCTACAGTATAAATAAACGTGCCTTTCAGTGTCATGTATAGGATAAAAAAACAGCTAAACATTAAGTACAAAAAGTTTACATATTAAGCAGTTTGGCTTTCAGAATGAGTGCTTAAATAGTAATGTCACAAAATCAATCACAGGCAAAGGAGAAAGAAATGATTGAGGAACAGGCAGAGCAGGGTCAGTCAGATGTACAGTGTCAGGTAAGGGTGTTGTGCTTTATTAAAGGGATAATGACAATTCTTTTGGGGGGTGAACAATTGTTTTAATGTTTTCGGAGTTGTGGCTGTTTAGCAGATTTCACAGGCTCACAGATTTACAATATGATCAGTCATTTTAACGTTTTTAAAGTTAGTTATTATGAGTATGGAAAATGTCTTTTCCTGCATTTATTCTGCTTCAGGAGTCTGTTGACTGTTGACTGTAAACAACACAACAAACAATGCAATAAATAGTTTTGAGGAAAAATTTGCTTTGTCATTGAACCTGAGAAAAACTTTGAGAATAATCATAATGACATAGTCTGCGTGCTATATAATAATGATGATAAAACCATTTTTAACTGCGGGGACTTATATTTAATAGTACAATTCGGCAGTATTATTTGTGTCCCCTTCAAAAAAATGCTTGAAAGAAATTTTTTATTTATTGCCCCCTCCCTCTACTGTTAAATCAGATTTACACCCATGGCTGCAACCCCCATACACCCTCATTAACACACATTTAACTTATTTAATTCACCTATACAACATGTTGTTGGACTGTGGGGGAAACCAGAGCACCCAGAGAAAATCCACACAAACACAGGGAGAAACTCCACACAGAAATGTCAACTGACCCAAAGCCGAGACTCAAACCAGCGACCTTCTTGCTGTGACGACAGTGTCATTTCCCAACTTATTTAACCCAAGCTAATTTACAATTAATGTATTACATTTTAATAAAGTCTAATATATAATAAATAAAAAAACAAAATCCACGAATCCCCGCTGTCAATAGATGGCTACACCACTACGATTAATCCCTGTAATTGGAAAGAGAGTCAGAAAAAGTTAAATGTGATCTCGTGTCAGGACACAGGAGTGGGTGCTGAGCTCTTACCTCTTTCCACTTCAGCAGCCTGATGCTCATCTTCAGCGCTTCCAGCGATGTCTTCGCCTTGGAGGTGTCCACCGTCACTGCTCTCCTCTTTTTGGCCACCTTGCTCCCGTCCTCTTTGCCACGATGCTCACATTTCTCATCCGTCTGCCTCTGACACGACTCAACGTGACCGTTTGCCGCTGTTTTGCTCTTTAAAAGTCTACCCGTCCCTTTAATGTGAAGGTTTTGCTCGTTGCTCTCACGATTCTGTCCTTTCTCCTGTGAACAGTCCGACTTCCGCGGCGCCACATCTGACAGATGTTTGCCATTCACCTGTTTCTCATGCCCGTCTGCTTTACCTCGGCTTTTACTTCGACTTCTCCCGTTGATGCTGCTTCTGGAGAGGTCCCTCCGAGCCCGAGGAAGAGCCGTGAAGGAGACGTCAGCAGGGACTGAAGAGGCCGGGGACAGATGCTCCTCTTCGGCCGCGGCCTCGGTCTCCACTGCCTTCATCTGCTGGAGCTCAATCTTCACTCTCTCGTAGTGATCGCTCATAGTGTTAATTAATACTGATTTGTTATCTCATCTAGGTTGCTGAATATGTTAGATTGATACACTAGCTCGAGGTGCAAACATTCCCAAACTAAAGCATAAAACTAGTAAAGCGGTTTATAAAATAGCCAAATATGGAGTCTGATAAAGTAGCATCAAGACGAGTCGACTCCATGGTTAGATTACATCTCAGCATTATAATGGCTTTATGAGCGCTGACAGATAGCACATCACTAACAATGTGCCGAGTGTTTTTGATGGCGATCTAACGGGACAGGAGTGGCTCCGGGCACAAGAGCTGTCCAGCTTGCGATTTTGCAGAGAGAGAGGCTCTTAATCGCCTATAAAAACAACACTAACGCTGCATATAAACACGTTCGTGCTTAATTCATCCCATTCTCTACGAAAATACTCAACTAACGGCACACATTGTGGCATTGATATATGAAAAGGGGAAGCGGGGCATGGCTGGGCGCATCAGCGCATTCCCCCTGTCAGTTTCGGTCAGTTCTAAAGTGCCGGTGAGGGGCATCGACTGCTCTCGCGCCTTTAAACAAACGCCGCATCGCTAAACGAAGGCATCGCGTGCTTCCAGTTTACCTGCTGTTTCCCAAGACGTGGTTTAGTTAATGCAGGCGGACAGATAAGGTGATGACCAGCGATCACACCAGAAGTTAAGCTCCCGTGTGCTGCTGTCGCGGCTGGTGTTTTGGTCCTGTTGACAACGCAACGCAACCGACGGAAGCCGTCGAGGCACATGACAGCAACATATTGCGGTCAAGCAATACGCGAAGCGAAAAATCAGTGAGCGGGATGATTGTGTAAACACATTAAATAGTAGTAACGTTAGTAATAAAAGGGTATTTATATGTAATAATAAAATATGAATAAAATATATTGTTCAATGGGCCTAGGCGACGCAGTGGCGCAGTAGGTAGTGCTGTTGCCTCACAGCAAGAAGAACGCTGGTTCGAGCCTCGGTTTCTGTGTGGAGTTTGCATGTTCTCCCTTCGTTCGCGTGGGTTTCCTTCGGGTGCTCCGGTTTCCCTTACAAGTCCAAAGACATGCAATACAGGTGAATTGGGTAAGCTAAATTATCCCAAGTGCACGAGTGTGAATGAGTGTGTATGGATGTTTCCCAGAGATGGGTTGCAGCTTGAAGGGCATAGACTGCGTAAAACATGTGCTGGATAAGTTGGCGGTTCATTCCACTGTGGTGACCCTGGATTAATAAAGGAACTAAGCTGAAATGAATAAATGGGCCTATTATATCATTTTCTTTTATTTCTATTAGGGGAGCGTGGGACACAAATGCGGGATTAAATGTAACACAGAGTTTTAAGGTATTTGCTCAAAGTTAACCATGTTATGCTTCCAAGGTTTTCACCACAGTGTCAGCAGACATCTTCCTGCCTGCCAGTTATTGAAAGATTTCGGTGAAAGTTGGATGAGAAACACAGGAGAAAACCATTTTTGAAGCATGAAAGTATTTTTTATTATACTCGATATTTTTATTTTTCAAAAAAATTATCTACGAAAAAATGAACGTAAAATCTTATATTGTGGTGGTTACCATTTTTTAGGCTAAAAGATTAAATCATTTTGAAAGATGTAAGAAACACACAGTGACTGCTACCCAGATTTTAGGAAAACATGAGACAGTGAGGTTGGTTGTTACAGGGTGTTACAATTAAGCCACACACTGTTGGACACCTATTTTACAAACAAAATAATTGTTTGAATTTGGAGTGTAATGTTGAGAACTTATTATTATTATTATTTTTATAGAAAACATTGTTTTAATAGAATTGTTTTTATTGCTAATAATGCAACTAAATGCATTGTATAATAATGGATAAATGGATAATAAAACAAATAGATTGAAATGTGTTATCCAATAAATAAACATACAGTGCTGTGTAGAATAAAAAAGTAATTCAGATTCAGATTCAATTTATTTGTCACTACACTTTCGTATAGCGAGATTGGACCCCCCAGACCATACACAAAACATCACAAACAACTTTTCAGGGGAGACAGATCTTAGGAGGTAGCATTTAGAAACGAAGAAAGATACATTTGGACAGTTAGGCTAAAAAACACCCCCTCAGCTTGCCCTTGATTAGGACAAAGTGAAAAAAGGGAGAAAAACAGCCCTATCTTAGCATAAGCACACCGGCAAGACACAACATAGACAGAGGGGATGGGAACAGGGGTAATGGAAAACAGTCCCTTGAGTGCGGGCAGCCAACTGGTCCAGCAGCCATTTCCGGCGCAAGTCACAGCCCCGCCCACACCCCACGTGGGTAAAAACACACGAATGAGCCAATTACTGAGTAAATATATAAATATAGCTACTATTTGAAGTAAACTGAATTTAAATTAATTGTGTAAAATCTGCCTTTATATGCACGTGTTACAACTAACACCCTGTCTGTTACAACTTGCCCAGCAGGTAAAGTAAATAGTAACATTTTTACTCTTTGCATTTTTGGCAATACTGCACTGTACGGCAATACTGTCCGGCGATCATAATTCCAGTGCTCATTTGTAGGAGAGGCTTGTGAATTATTGGTAAAAAACGATGGTTTGTCTAACCCCATTACTTTGTTTATTTATTTGTTTAATTTGGCCCTTGCATTGTAGCAACCAGAAATATGATGGAATAATAACATGAATTTCAGCATTTAATGTGTTCATTTGTAATAATGCACTTATTATGCTGTATCTGTTAGTGTTTTATTGTCAAAACCGTAGGTCTTAAAGTATGTCACTATATATTAATGTGTTGCAACAAATGGAAAAACTTACAAAAACATAACATGTAAACAGTATCTGATCCTTTGTGCCTAGTCATGTGATAAATAATTTTTGAAGAAATATATATATAGAAATATATATATAGGCAATTATTGAACTACGGCCCTTTTAGCCTTGTGAAATTGAGTAAAAAAAAAAAAAAACTTGTTCAAAATTAACATAACATATAGCCTCATGAGTTTAAACAATTTGTCTATTTTTAAGATCTGTAAGAGGACAAACGTAGGTAAGATAAGAAATTGTTTATATTTAACATGTTTTCCATCGTGAACTGAACAAATGTAAGTTCCACCACATCTCAATATACAGATTTTATTTTAAAAATTAAATAAATGATGCTAGCCAAACATTGCCCAAGATATTTTTTTCTATCTAGTTTAAACAATCTTTTCACAAATAAATACAGTAATTATACATTTGTCAATGAAATAAATAGTCTCTTAGGACCAAATGCTGAACTGTACACCTGTCACACTCTTGACACTTTAAATTAATTTGGTTAAGAGTTTATAAGAAAATTTTTACACTGAATTTTTATATTAAATAGAGCATGAACTCATAAATTGTTATTCCACTTTTAATGTGTGATAAGAACTTTTAAAGTTTTCTTTTTTTTTTTTTAAATGTGTGTGGTGATGGAAATGGCAGTGGTGGAAATCACATTTCAACAGTTTATTGTGAAAAAAATGAAAATTAGCTTTCATCTATAGAAAACACTCTTATTTACCTTAATTTTGTTTGGTTTTTAAAAACATCTTTGCAAGTACAACATGTTTGGAAATGACGTAGAATAAATGTATTTCCTTATCAAGCAATATTTACCTCGATTTTTCTTCAAGTGTTGTTAAAAATAATTTCCTCTATCTTAACCATGTTCTCAGATGGCACAATTTGTTTTCATAGAAACCACCTAAATAATCTTTCACACAAACTTTTTAAAATGACATTACAGTGTTGTGGTGGAAATGACACTGATACTGTGCCACAGCTATATCTTGCATAAATATAATATTGATAATAGTCTCACTTGATAATAGTCTCACATTAATAACTATAAAATATTTAAATTATTTTACAGTGCTTAATTAAGATACATTAATAGCTACCAGATAAATAATATTTTAAAATGCTATTTTCATTGTTAAAGTTTAAAATTCTGGGAAGTGAAAACAGTGATTTTGACACCTAAAAGGAGGTTGAATAATATGAAAAAATATATATAATAGGTATAATTTTTTTAAGTAGGTTTTATTGTTAGTTTGACAATGAAAGGGAAATTTGAACAAAATTATGTATATTTTGGATATATGATCAAAGAAAATAGAAGTGCCCGTAGTTAAATTATATATATATATATATATATATATATATATATATATATATATATATATATATATATATATATATATATATATATATATATTAATGTGCCCTCAATGCCCCTGTGATGCAGCAGAGGGAGCACTTGTGTCAAAATAGAAAAGCTCTGCTATCACAACACTCCCTGTAATTTTGTGCAGTATACAGTGACTTGAATACAGACTCAACTCCACAGATGAATAGGGAGAGATAACTCTAGGTGCATGTTTGAGGAGTGCGTCAGCAGATCAGCAAACGTTCAGTTAAAACCTCATTTGGCATGTAACTGGGGGCTTGTTATCACATAGGTTGTCAAAAAAAACTTTTTTGTAAAATTTTTTTGTGAATAATTTAAAATGATACATTTAGGCCAGCGATGCTCAAATATAGGGCCCGAGGGCCAAAGTTTATGGTTAACCTATGGTGAGCTTTGATGTTTAGTGTATTCAGCATTGAACTTCACTGTGTAATAAATGTGATTGTTTATTTTTTTATTGCGTTGAGTTATAATTTTAAGAAAGTTATACTGCATTATATGGTTTAAAGTAATGTTTATATTTATTTTGATTATTAAATAGATTAGGAAATATAGCAACTTTATTGTAATAAAGTTTGGTATATTTACCTTCGGCCCACAGCTCTCAATGGTATGTTTTTTAGCACTTCATACGAAAAATATGGGCACCCCTGATTTAGGCTATATTTTCAATTTATAATCCATATATTATAGGCCTAGTCTACACAGAAGAACAGGTTGCGTCCCATGTAATTAATTGGGACTCTATAAGGAAGTGGTGCAGCTTTTATTATGCTAAATGTAGTGTTTGAAAGATTTGTCGGTTGTTCCTAAAGCACACGGAACTTTGCTCCATAAGAATTGC